ACAATCGTGGTTTAGGTTTTACGGTTTTGACAACTTTTCCACAGAACATCCAACTGAGAGTTTATTGGAAATGTATAAAAATGCATTTGAAAAACAAACTCTTCCTGCTCCGGACAGGATCTCAAGGTACAGTTGTGGAGGAGGGGGTCTGGTTTGGGAGCCACAGGGTCTCGTCTTTTGCTTTATGTGGTTCTGTTGGCGTCTTTAGGCTAAGACCTTCACAGCCGAGTGTGAAGCGGCTGGGATGAGAGTCAGGTCAGAGACCATGGTTCTCGATCAGAAAAGGGTGAAATGTCCCCTCCAGGTCAGGGGCAGGGTGGGGGGTTGGGTCTCTRCCTCAAGTGGAGGAGTTTAAGTATCTGGGTGTCTTGTTCCTGACCGATGGTAGGATGGAGGAGGAGATGGATCAACAGATTGGGGCCTCGTATCAGTAATGAGGACGTTGCTTCGGTCAGTAGTGCTGAAGAAAGAGCCGAGTCGAAAGGCAAAGCTCTTGATTTACTGGTCAGTCTACGTTCCAACCCTCACCTGTGGTCTTGAGGTTTGGATCATGATCGAAACAAGATCCGAATACAAACAGCCGAAATTAACTTCCTTCGTAGGGTGGCCTGGCWCAGCCTTAGAGACAGGACGAGGAGCTCCATCCAGGGGCGGTTCTAGGGGCGGGGCCACAGAGCATTGGCTCCAGMTGCAATCTGATTGCTCCCCTGAAGTGCCCCTGTCATGTCACTCATCTGTCCTTCGCCTGAGATTGGTCATGGCGTGCGCAGTTCCATGTTCAAACACTAGAGGCGCTAATGAGTCAAATGGGAAAGTCCAGCATGAATCARTCTTCTTCTCTTCTTAAGAAAATCTGAACAATCTTGCAGAAAAAGTTATTCAACTGACAAATGAGGGCTGCATTTTCTCATATGCTTGAGAGCATTTTATCTATGAACAGTAAAAAAATACATGTAAAAATGCTAAGGATAATTTACTGCTCAAGCTTTTTTTTTAATGACATTACAAGTGTTTGAACATATGACTGGTAAAAGGTATACTATGGAAGCGTATTGCTATCAGGCAGGAAAAAAAAATCCGAGCGCTATCACGTTATAACGTGATACGTATCTTGTTAAAACGTGATAGTATCACGTTTTAACGTGATACGTATCTCGTTAAAACGTGATACGTATCCGTGATACGATCTCGTTAAAACGTGATACGTATCTCGTTAAAACGTGATACGTATCTTGTTAAAACGTGATAGTATCACATACGTATCTCGTTAAAACGTTTTAACGAGATACTATCACGTTTTAACAAGATACGTATCACGTTTTAACGAGATACTATCACTTTAAAACGTGATACGTATCACGTTTTAACAAGATACTATCACGTTTTAACAAGATACGTATCACGTTTTAACAAGATACTATCACGTTTTAACAAGATACTATCACGTTTTAACAAGATACTATCACGTTTTAACAAGATACGTTTCACGTTATAATGTGTTAGCGCTCGGATTTTTTTTCCCTGCGTGATAGCAATACGCTTCCGTATGATTCTGTCTCAATTTACCTTAAAGTTTAGTTTAAACCTAAGGCAAGGAGGAAAATACTTATCTGTGCCATTGTTTTAAACTAAACTTTAAG